GTACTAAAACTAAAAATCCATCTATGTTCAGAGGGCTGGGTCCAGATTTAGATATGTACAACTGGGCTGGTGGAAATGGACCCCTCCTTCTGCCAATGGAAGACCTTCTGCTACATAGAATGTTGTGGGATCCAGCTGAATAGACTGAGCAGTAATCTGGAGAGAGCAGGGATTTTCTGGGGGGGACGACTCTACTATGACCAAGGCCCTTCCATTCACAGATAGTAGTCCTGGATCCAACGCATAGTAAACAAAAGATTGCACCATGGAAGCCTCTCATTCAGGATTAAAAACCCTCCATTCCCTTTCCCCCTTCCCCAATTTTCCATTCTGTATCAGCGTCACCCCACCCCATTATCAGTCGGTATTATGTTACAACAGAACATGTTCCATTCTCATTGAGTAATTTAAGGGGGGTTCCCCCATTAGGGTTTTTCTGAAGCATTTCATATTTCTGCAAAATGTGGGATTTCCCTAAGCCTATTGATAGCTCTTTTGTGTTTTTTATTTTTTTATTTTATTAAAACATTTTTATGCCGCCCCATTCGCCGAAGCGTCAGGGCGGCTTACAACAATAAGTTAAAAAATAATTATAACATTAAATTAAAAATAAACATTAAGTTAAAATACAAAAATACCAATATAAAATAAGCCGCCCTGGCCAGATAAAATCCAATAATATTAACAATTAAAATGCCGCTTAAATAAAAAGGTCTTTGCCTGGCACCAAAAAAACAAATAATGACAGCGCCAGGCGGACCTCTCTGGGGAGCGCATTCCATAACTTAGGTGCCACCACAGAGAAAGCCCTCCTCCGAGTACCCACCCTCCTGATTTCTTTCACGGAGGGTTCCCAGAGAAGGGCCTCTCCCACCGATCTCAAGGGGCGGCTGGGCATATATGGACGTAAGTGCTCCTTCAGGTTACCAGGACCCAAGCCGTTTAGGGCTTTATAGGTCATCACCAACACCTTGAATTGGGCCCGGACTTCAATGGGAAGCCAGTGAAGCTGACAGAGAACTGGAGTCATGTGAACATAACGCCCAGTCCCCGTCAGCAGCCTGGCAGCTCTATTCTGAACCAATTGAAGTATCCGGACCGTCTTCAAGGGTAGCCCCACGTAGAGCGCGTTACAGAAGTCAAGACGGGAAGTCACAAGCGCATGTGTCACTGTCGCGAGGCAGATGGATGGTGCCATATTGGTTTCATATGATAGTGCCTTCAAGAATGGGCATAATTGCTTTCATATTCAAATATTTTTAAAAATACTATAATAATGAGCTGGAGCCAAAGAAATATGAGTCCAAAGAGGCTTAAAACCATGCTACAGATGCTTGTGAAAACACTAGCAGAAGACTTCACACCAAGCATCTGGACCTGTGTTACAATCTGCAAACATGGCATATGATCCAGGATGTGGCATATTCTGTGGTACATTTAGGCAAGTGATGGATTGGGGGAAGATTGAGGGGGACCATTTGGCTTGAGAAATGTACCACACTGCAAAGCAAGCCGTTATGGTTGTTCATGCAGCTGCCCACAGCTAAGTTGGTTCTGAAATATGAATTACTTTGGCCCCAGCCATAGGACTTGCTCTGCATTGAAGAATGGTTTGCACCTCAGCAGTTACAACCTGCTTTGTTACCATGTGGGTAACAGTTCTGATAGTCAGTGGAATACCATGTATGAAGCATGCATCAGGTACCTTTCCCATTGTGTTTGCAGCCCAAGGCATCCCGTGTTCCTGCTACCCCCTCTGCCATGATGGCAGCAAAAACTGTGTTGATTTAGCAAGAAAACAAAGCATGTGAGGACCATATACTTGTTTCCAACGTGAAAATACTTCCAGAAGCCTCTCAGAAGCATTTCTCTTTTCTAAATGAAGTAAATTTAGTAAAGGGCAGCTCCTGGTGGGTTCAGAGTGTGTGTGTCAGTGCTGCCTCTCACAGCTCCCACCAAAGTTGCCCACCCCTCTGGTGAATGAACAGTAATAATGCATTTTTTCTGTATGAAGACTAGTTCATTCCTCCTAAAAACCAAGTGGATTATTAAGACTTCTCATTAAATGGGCAGGGTGATGTAGCATTTGGAGTGATGAATAGAACAGGGAGATCTGGGTTCATAGTCATATTCTTGTTCATCAACAACATTTAGTGGGTTGAGTCACCAATTCTGTCTAATTTCTTAGGGTTGTTATCCTGCCCTGACCTCCTTGGAGGAAGGCTGGAATAAAAATGAATGAATGAAAAACACAAGCCCTATTTTTAAGACCTAGCAATGCCTTATGAGTGGCTATTCAGTGTTCTGAAAGGGCAGTTAATTATTTCCTTATTGTTGTATCTTTACTACTACAAAGAGAGAGAAGTCCTTGCGAGATTATGTTCCTCAAATGCCAAAATACCTCAACCATCCTGTGATGTTACACACTTGCTGTTCACCTCAGCAGCAAATGACAGAGTAGGCCATTCCCGTTCCCATCTATTCCCCCACTGTGGCCTGATGGAGAGGCCGTTGCTTGGTATCAGGTGAAGGAGGGTGGAGACCACAGAGCTTCCATCTCAGCAGAGGGAGTGAAGTAGCCCTAATTCTCATCCATTCCCAGCCTGGTGCATTATCCAAATACATAACTTGAAGGGCATGCATTTAAATGTACATGGGATTGCCTATTTTGTGGAAGTAGGGCTCCCTGCCCCCCATCCCTTTCAGTCACCTGAAAATGCTACAAAGAGGCTGGGTTCACACATCCTCTCTCCAGCATTTTCTTCTCTCTCAGTTCTGCAGGCAGTATCCCAGGAAAAAACACAGGAAGAAATGAGGCTCCCCTCTTTGACAGCCATAATCGTGAGCGGAATTCAGCTTGCTCAGGCTGTCAAACAATCTGCTGAACCAGCAGGGCTGATGGTTTGGATCAAAGAGGAGAAACTGAGGGAATTGATCAGTCCCCACTGCAGTGGGGGGGGGGGGGGTTGCCTGATTCACACTTAGGCAAAGGGGGGAAATCAGCAGGGCAGTGCTGCGGAGAGGAGCAGCATCACTCAGCTGATCCCCCCGCTACTCCGTTTCTTGCTCCCACTTGCAAGAGAAGCATCCCAAGTAGCCGTGAGAATGGTGGGCCGGTGGGAGAATTAACTAGGCACCACCCCGCTGTTGATTCTCTCTGGCATGCGTGTGGGGAATCTGTTGAGCAGCACTGCTCCTCCCACAGCAGCACCCATCTTATTAACGAAGATCTTCAGGGCAACAGACAAACAGGGCAGGAACACTAATGATAGTCACACAAAATAGCAACTGTCAGCAGTCCTCTCTGCTTAGCTGCTTGGCAGGAGCAGCAACAGTTGTGCCTGCCCAGAGACTCTCTGGTTCTGGCCTTTGTACCATGATGAGTTCTGTTTTTCCAGGCTGAGATGGAAACACCACAGAACAAACCATTGTTATTGTTTGTGGCTTCTAAGGAACAAACATATAATGACAGGGGTAGCATGGCACAATAGGCCAACCATGTTAAGAGACCACTGTGGCTTGTCTTTCTTTGAAAACCTGCCCAAAAAGTCTGGGATCTGTGCTGGTTGGGATCAATTGTGGTGTTGTGGTAAGCTGTGATGCTGGGCAGAAGGATCTTTCTTGAGTTGTCAATAGTTCTCAACTGCTTTCCTCAAACTGTCTTTATATCAACGATGGGCCGTCCCCAGGTTATGAATGAGTTCCATTCCTGAGAAAATGGAAATTCGACTTTAAGTTGAATTTGTATGCAAGTCAGATCACATACAGTCAGCCCTCCACATTCGCAGGAGTTAGGGACACAGGACCCCTGTGAAAGAGGAAAAGCTACAGCGATTTCTAGCCACTGCCCATCCTCACCAGCACTTCCTCTTCAAAGCAAGGAAATGCCAGAGAGATTTCCCTCTCCAGATTGATGGGCCAGGAAGGTATGCTATGGAGGGTCTCCCTCTCTTCCTTTTCCCCTCCCTTCTCTATCTGGTGATGCTTTGGAGGCCTTCCCTCTCTCCCCTTTCACTTTCTCTCCTCCCTCCCTCCCTCCCTCCCTATGGTGATTCTTTGGAGCCCCTCCCTCTCTTTTCTTTCACTTCCTCTCTCCCTATGGTAATGATGATTTTTGCCATAATTTTAAAAATTTAATCAGCTGTATAACAGTTTGTTCGTAAGTCTAAGTTGTTCATAACTCAGGTATTCGTAACTCAGGGACTGCCTGTACTTTCACCAAATCTGACCTTTGTTTGAAAACATTGTGTTGAAGAATGGCAATTCTACAGTGGTCTCCCCCTTACTTTCCCCTTTAAAGTGTGTTGAAAGTGTCATCAGATTTCAAAACTGCCATCAGATCTCATTTGCTATTTTCCTTCTGGACCCTCTAGTACTAACCCTAAGCAAGGGTCAACACCCCAGAAATGCCACAACATCTAAGCCCTCTAAGATACTATCTGAAAGAAAGGAGCCCAAAATTTTAGCTAAGTGGGACCATCTAAGGCTTTAAGTTCCTCAGCTGTCTCTGGTTGAGGATGTTACAGGCATAATCGAAGGTTTTCCAACAGTTTCACAGTGTACACACCCAACTGCTCAGACTTTCAGCTTGAGAAGCAAGACATGCCCTGGAACAGTCACTTGTCAAACCCACATTGAATCATACCCTAAATGTGTTAATGGCATAACTCATGCTTTTGAATAGCAACCTCAGAGAAGCATTTGGCATGGTTCTTCTGTATCAGCTGGGAGAGGGGTGCTTGGAGACCCCACTATGCAATCAAAGTGCTTCTTTAACTTCATAGCTGAGTGTCCAAAAAATACTATGGCTGTCTAGATTGTCTATTGGCTATAAGATTGTGCTGTAATTCCAAGTCCAATCTTGCGTGGATAGAAGGATAAGATATGAGATGCCAATGGAGAGTAAAATGGAATAGAAATGCTTATGAAGAAGGCCATTGTCTAAGATTCAATTAAATCTCCTTCAGCTCTATTATAAAAGAAATCTTCACAAGTTTAAGAAACATGCATAAATCAGCATTTTTATATTCATTTCAGAAAGTATATTGACCTGTGGGACTTCTTTGGCATAACTTCAGCAATTTACAGAGGAGTGATTTGTCAGATCAAATAACACATTATTACTCAGAACAACCACCCAAAAAAGGTCTTCCAAAAGTCCTGGAAAACAAATTCCTTGGAAAAGAAATTCTGGCATATTTTTGCATAGTTGTACTCATTAGATCATGAACGCAAAAGCTCTCTTTGGAACCTCAAACTGGATTCATTCATGGTAGCATGTATTCCACAAGTTTCTCTTCATCCTGATAACAACTGGCTCTCCTGATTAACCATTCCACTGGCACATCTCAAATGTTCTGATGGTGAATCTCATGGCAGTGATGCATCTTGCATTCCAACAGCAAACTGGGGCTTCCAGCAAATGCTATAGTGTCTCAGTTGGCATAAAGCAAGTCAAGGATTGCTGTGTAAATCCAGTGCTAAATCCAGCTGGTGTTCCCCTGGTGGTTGAAGGCTCTCCGATCCTGTGAAGACTTCCATTCAGAGGAGGAAGGAGGTAATTTTTGATGATTCCATTTCTTCACTGGAGCCTCATCCAACACCGCCAGTTCTGTTCCAAGACCCCTCAGTCCTCCAGGAGGCCAAACTGGGACACTGGCAGGATAAAATAATTTCAGCTCCAGTTCAGTGATAGAAGACTCTACTGGGCCAAAGAATATTCTGTCAATGGAAGGACACCAACTGGATATAGGATGGTCATCTATGAATCACCAAAACAAAGGACATAGATTTTCATTAAATATGTGCAGGCTAGTTTATATGTATAGAAGCAACATAATCATAAAACAACATTATTAAAATTTAAATACAGATTTCATCTCACCATTGTGTGGAAGATTATGACCAAGTGACCTTTGATGTCTGCTGTCCAGCTGCTGTTGAAGGTCATCTTCAAGGCTCACCTCTCCCTTCTGATGGTCCTCTATCTTTAAACTGGTCTTTGACTGGGCAACTTTTCATAGATAAAGTGTCTTCAAAACAGGACCATTCTCTGTGAAAAGGGGCACATGGCCATCCTACTATAACCCACTGTAATAAGTACTACAGAATGATTATGAATTGCTATTTTTGTTTAGTACTATTTGTTGAATGGTTTCATTTAAATAAATTAATAAGAGCACTGCTGGATCAGACCAAGACTGCTTCCAAACTAGCTCTTTGCTCTGCTATAGCCATCCTTTGTCCAGAGGACGCTGTTCTCAAATTAATACCTTTCACTGTTTTCTGCATCCTCCTGCTGTGTTTCCCCCTCCCCACAGACCTGAATTGTGGTGACCTAAGTAAGAAAACACATTTTAGGTAAACATTCTACTTTGCTATTTAAAAGATCATGTTCAGGAGAGGGGACAAGGGAAGAAAGAAAAAAAAAGAAAGATGAAAGATCAAATATTTTATTTACTATCTATATCACCCAACAGCTGAAGCTGTCTGGGTGATTTACAACAGTTTCTAATAACTGTTCCTAAACAAGCCCATGATACAATAAAAGCAACCATTTTTGTATAATAAAAATTGAAATTTGAAAATAATTATCAGCTAAAAAATAGTATTTAATATAGAATAGACCTTCTAAAAACACCAGACCTAAATACCTCCACCAACCCATTAGCTAAATATCTTTAAATGCTTCAGAACAAGGGCTGTCTTAACCTAGTGTCAAAAGAATAACAAAGCCAGCACCTGGCAGGCCTTAAGGAAAATAATTCCACAGGCAGGGTGCCACCACTGAGAAGGTTCTCCCCTTTGTTGCTGTTCTCCAAGTTCCCTTGCAGATAGTACTCAGAGAAAGGCCTTAGATGTGTTTGCAGTGTCCAAGTAGATTGTATCTGAGAAATGCATTCCATCAAGTATTGCATTCGCAAGGCATATAAGGCTTTATAGGTTAAAATGAGCCTCTTCAATCAGATTTGGAAGCATATAGCCAGCCAGTGAAAGCAGGCCAGGATTGTGCTCAGATTGTGCTTCTGGTCTCACTTTTTAGTATGGTTGACACGTTTTGCACAGCTTCTGAACAGTCTTCATGGGCAATCCTGTGTAAATTGCATTGCAGTAATCTGATTTAGAGAATATTCAAGCATAGATCCAGACAGGGGCATAGCTGGGTCACCATTTCAATCAATCTTTCAATCTATATCCTGCCTTTTTCCTACAAAGGACTCAAGGCAGCTTACAACTCCTCCTCCATCTTATCCCCACAACAACAACCCTGTGTGGTAGGTTGGGCTGAGAGCCTGTGACTGGCCCAAAGTCACCCAGTTGGCTCCATGGCCAAGCGGGGACTCGAACCCAGCTCGTCTGAGTCAAAGTCCCATGCTCTTAATCACTACACCACCACCATCTGAAGCTAGTAGAAGGTACTCCATGCCACTAAGGCCACCTGAACCTAAAGTGACAAAGATGGCTCCAAGAGGACCCCAGAAGAGCAGCACTGTGAGTGGGCACAACAGGTGCCATTCCCGGTGACCAACTTTCTTTCCTGCCCAGTGCAGCCAATGGCAACAGTGCTGGATGTAGAAGAAGGGCACTGCTCAACAACATGTGGGGCTTGATTCTTGATGACCCTCCTGCAAAAGCTGTGAACACTTGTCACTCAGGTGTAGGACTGCACCTAGGTGGACTGGAGTCTGGGCAGCCAAGCCCAGGGAATCCAACAGATTCCCGTTCCTCGTACATTCCTATTCAGGAGTAGACCCACTGCCACCTCTTTCAGATAGCATGGGAATATTCCCTCACTTCCTTGGCCCAGTTGTCTGTTCACTCCCCACTGTCTTCTATAAGCCAGAAGGGCAAGGAAAGTGGTTACATACACTGGTCCAAGTGCCTTGTCATTATTCTCAAGCTGTAACCACTGAAGCTCATTCAGTAAAATTGGATCAGACTGTCCCCCAGGTACCTCTTCTGATTCAGCTCCTCTGATACTGGAGTCTAATTCCTAGCAGATTTACACTTACTTTCCACTGATGTGGTGATTCAGACTAACTCAAAGGGAAAGTTTTCACTTATCTCCCAACTGGGGTTAACAGAAAGCAATAAATCAGGCTGGACAGTAAAGAAGAAAAAGGATTGCCAGTTAATTATTAAATGATGTGTCAACTGAACGTCAAAATTTACCACTACACTATTGGACCTAGCCATAAATTTGAATTGCAACAGTGTATTTTTCTAGTTGTCTCACTGTCATTATCATCATGATCATGATCATCATCATCATCATCATTTTACTCCTACAAAGCTGTAGTATTCCTTTAGGGACTTTACTTCTGATTATTTTGTCCCTCTGTCTTCAATTTGTCTCTGTTTCCTTGAATTTTTATAATAACTAGAATCCAAACATAGCTCTGAAAAGATAAGAGGATGTGCAAAAGAGTGGAAATATCTCATTCCAATTAAGTTCAAACATACTTATTTTTGCAAGTATGGAGTATTTTCTCCCCTCCTCCCTACCAGCTCCTCCTCTGAATCAATATTCACTCTCTTAATCAGTGTTGCTACGTTGACTGAATAACATTTGTATTACTAAATTATTTTTGTCTCTCTTGAAATTGTAAACTTAGTTTGAACTGGAAAGTGATGAAACATCATAAAAATAAAAGAACATGCTGAACTTTTGAATGTAATAGTTACAATGGCAAAGAAATAACTCACTAGTAAAAAAATGAGTTATACTAAGTGCAAATACTGGACAGTTCAACCGTACTGATTCAGACCACACTGACTCTGTCTTACCCAGAAGAGAATTGTTCTGTTGCAAACAGCTGCAAGTCTCTGTTAAGCAAAAGGTCTGACACTAGCACTGCAATGCAAATAGCTTGGCTGAGGGCATCTTTAGGCCCAATACTACCTCTTAGTGACACAATTGTTTCCCAAGTTCCCAGGTTCCTTAACAATAAGACTTTTCCAGCATCCATCTCAGAGCTGGGATGAGCCATTACCAGATAGCAAACAAAAAACCCCAAGAGATTCTGAAAATTCTCCCCCCAGGCAAGACGGGGAGATGCACCCAAATACATGCCACTGGAAAAAGAAGGTGGGGGTCCTTCTCTTCCAGCACAGGTGCTAGGAGCAAATCTTCAGGGAGCTTGAGGTAGGCACACAAAGAGATTGCCCAAGGTTTCTTTGATACAGCTGCCCAGGTGCTCTTTTCCCCAGCCATAGGGGGAAAGAGCTGACACAGGCACCAAGGGAACTTTGGCTCAGACATAGGGTCTTCATTGATAGGCAGCTTAGCGGAGGGTTATGCTAGCTAGATGATAGCCCTTTTCCATTGTTCTTTGCCACTGCTGTGCTATTATGACTTGCTTTTTGCATTGTGCACTGAAGCTGATACACCTCCTTAAAGTGCTTACTGGAACAGAATCTGACCAACATTTCCTCCATTCTGAACCTATTCCTGAATCCTGTTTGCCAAACCCCAGACTGCTTGCTTAGGGGATGCATGAGGACAGGTTCACAACAGATGCAACCATTTTTTTGGATCACACCAAACTCTATCAACACCCAGACTACAATGAACATGCTGAATACAATCTGCAGTCTAGCTGTGCTCATCTGAGGACATAGGTAGGCAGCGAAGATGCCCAGCACAATGGACCCTGTTTATATTCTTGGCCAAACATCCCCAAAGGGCCAAGAGCACTTGGAAACTGTGGAGATTGGGGTTGTTTTACCCTCGGTGGTGGCAGCCAGTATCAGTGGCCAAACCATAAGCCCTTGGATAGGTTTGCCTGTGGGCCCCAGGTTGCCACAATCATACAAGAACAACAATGCATAAATAATTGTGTCACTGGAATACTCAGAGGAAATGCAGAATAAAAAAGCAAGTGATGAGGAAAGTACAGTTAATTCATATTTCTGAGCTATAGTTACTTATCAAGTACCAGTTTCCTACCATTTTTGCATGATACTCACATGTTTTCTTTATGCAAAAACATGCAAAGTCTGTGCCAGAAATCTGAAGAGAAAAGCAGCTGAGCATAGTAGAAGTTCTGGTTCAATGGATTTCCTGCTGAAGAGTCTATTTCCAGAAATGTACCAGAATGAGTTACAGTGCAATCCTATGTATTTCTACTAAGAAGAAAACCCCACTGGGTTCAATGGTATTTGCTCCCGGGGAAATGTGTCTAAAACTGCTGTTTTGAAGACAGAGCGATAAGACAGAATGCTGCACATGTGGAGGTCAGACACAGAACCAGCAGATGCAGGAAGTGGAGGGGAGGAGTGGCAAGCACACAACTGCCCGCCAACATCAACTCAACACATTTATTTAATTTATTTAACACTTTTGTATATTGTCACAATAGCCACATGGCTCTCTGGACGGTTTACCCAGAAAAAACCATCAACAAAACATTTAAGTAACATAAACAATAATAAACCACTGAAACCAGGAAAACATCCACAACCACAGCAGGAGCAGGAGCTATTTATTTAACAGCAGAATGTCTCTGCTACTTGTATGTTACTGTGAAGAAGGGTTCCATGTCACTTTGGAAATGCAGAGATGATGTGTTCCTATGGATCTTCTGTTATGTGAAAAGACCAGAGAAGCTTGCCAAGTCAGATTTAACAGCACATGCTGTTTTTTAGAAGAACTGATAGACCCTGAACTACACAGTTTCTAGTATGCAGAATGTACCATATGACTGAGAAGGTTTGAGAAGGTTTGATTGAAGTTCTAAAACCTAAGATGGCAAACTCCTTTCAACCCAAATGATTGTTTCAAATTTAGAGAAGCAACCAAGGAGGGTAGGGGTGGTACCAACACATACACACACACAAACCAGCATAGTTTACTCTGAAATTCTTACCACTGGTAATTAAGCTTTAGCAGAGACCTTTCAGTGTTATGGAATGGGGTAGATCAAAATGGCACAAAACCTTGGAAATTGGAAATCATCCAAAAAACTGTGCTTGGGAAAAATGGGACGGGCAGAATAAGGAAGGCATGGCCATTCTGAGGAACCTCAGCAGGGCCGAAATTGGCCCTTAGAA